TTCCAAAGTTGTCCTAATACCAATAAAATGTGCTTTGCTTGTGTTTCACAAGTAAGTAAAGGCTTTATGAATGTCAAGCCAGGTTAAAAAGAGCATATCTTCAATGAAGAGTTATTCAGTTCAGGATGATTTTAGACTGAGTATTTTAGATCTAAAATTAGAGATGTTCATTTATGATCCAGACATGCTAGATATTGCTAAATCTGGCAAGTTGATTTTATACTTGGATATCATATTTTATTAGTTCCCACTTGGAAATAATACAAATTCACTCTGACATAATATTGTTGTGTTATTATATATATTAATAGTATATACATTATTATATGTCTTGTTACATCCTTACCCGTCAGTGTTTTCTCAACTGTTCTATTCTGTTATCTCTAAAGCAGGGATTCCCAAAGTCGGTCGTCAAGGGAAGGCATCCTGCACATTTTAGTTCCCTCCCTGGTCGTGACAACAACCTTTGGTAATCTTTAGAAGACCTAAAAGACCTTCTTTTTAGGTCTTCTAATGAGCCATCATTTGATCCAGGTGAGTTAAACCAGGGAGAAAACTAAAAATGCAGGATGCCGGCAGTTGAGGACCAACTTTGGGCACCCCTGCTCTAAGGAATAGAGCTGTTGGTGAATTAAAAAAAAAAAAAAAAAAAAATCATTTCCACCTTGTGAAGCCTCCGCAGAGGACGGTCTGTTGCATTATGCAAACGGGAAATATGGGCCCACTCAGCTCTTTGTGCAGCCACAGTAATGCGTGTCACTCTGTCCTCCCTTTACACGCAACAGGACCAACACCTCGACCAGAACAAGACCAGAAAAATAATGCCCACAACTGAATGGTCGGTTTGAACTGAATGGTTTACTGTCAAAACAGAACAAAACTGAGTGAATAACCCAACAAAATGAAAATTATATTTTTCTGTTTTGCATTTTCAGAATCACACAGTAAATAAGAGCAACTTCGGATCATCAAAACATGAAAAAGGAAACCTCCAAAATACAGGATGTTTAATGCTTTGTCCACTGAAATCAGGTGTGATGTAATGAGCATGAAAAAACAGGTGTGACAAAACAGAGCATAAATCACAGGAAATATTGGGTGGAATATCCTGAGAGCTGCAGCTTCAGAGTCGACTAAAACGGCCAGATATCGTTACTGTTATCAGCGTGAGTGTAGCAACATGTTTATCTGACAGCTGCAGCTTCAAAACACAACTTCCCGTTACAAAATCATTTAAATCACAAAACAGGCTATTGCAAAAGTACCATGTGTTCAGACAATTGGGGTTTTGGCATTTTATTCCTCCCCTTTCAGTGTCTTCACTTCCTCATGTGAATAACGTTAAAACCACAACTTCTGCGGCGCAAACAACTACTGAGAGAAAATAAACACTCAGATTCTGTGGTAGGCGAACGTTACGATAAGTTAAGGGAGAGAAAAAAAAAACTGTGGTCAACTGACATCTGAAAACTGCTTTCAGAAACTTTGTGTGATATTAAAAATAATAAGATGTATGAAAATATTTATGAGCACACTTAAATCTCAAAGCATTATAACACAACCGATGCACGCCAAGTTCCTCTAACAGTGAGATTGGCATAATTTCAACAGCGGTACAAAAAAAAGAAAAAAAAAAAGGCTCACATCCCTCCACTACCCCTTACTCTCGATTCTTAACAAACAGTATTTGACTTACTAATAAAGATGCTTATATTAAGCTTATGGTCCACTTCCCCCAAATCTGACTAGTCCAACAAGATGAATTCCCCTGTCAGAATCAAGATGATCAAACAGATTACAATTATTTCATCCCCCATCTTTATTAATGAAGACTGTCTTTCATAGTTATGTTCTCTAATAAGAATAAATGATGTGCCACCACCAGGTTTGTTGTTCCCACTTACTCAAGGGACTCTCAGACATTTCCACTTTGAATCGAAGGAATGTTTGAGATTGATTTCTGGATCACGCTTGGATGTTTTTGAGGAGAACAAAGACACACAAAAAAGGAAGCAAAAAGCCTCTTTTGTGTTGGTTAAAGCTGTATGAGAGAAAGGCTGCAAATGAAACTTAAAAGAAAAGACAGTGAGTTGCCAGGGCAATGGAAAGTTATCAAGCCATTATGAAAGGATCGTAACTCCCCAAGGACAATTAACATGGTTCGTTGTGCAGGAATGAGAACCCTGATACACTGACTGTCAGCAGCCAAAGAATCCAAACAAAGTATTGTGACAGGAGCTGAGAGAGACATCTCATCTTTTTTCTCCATCAATGTCATTTACCACCTCCTTGCAGATTGACATGCTGCCCTTTATTTCAAATCCAGGCCAAGGAAATGAACAATTAGATCTGTTCTAGATGTGTAAAATGGAAGGAGTGTGAGTACAAATCAGGGGGCATAAAATGTGACCCCTAGCAACATAGGCATGCTATAGAGTTCTTGCCATTTTTCCTGTTGACAAAAATTGCTCTTCTGAAATTATCTTCTTTTTAATTCTAAAATAGTGTTAGTAGGTGGACCAAGGTAGTATTTCTGTATTTAAAACCTACACATTTTGTTATTTTTGCCCAATGGCAAAATTCGGTACTGTTGTATTGCTATACTTTGCTCAGTAGTTGCCAATTTGATTGTTAAGACAGAACCCAACCCATAGAGTGTTGGACATTATTAAACATTTGCATCAGACCTCTATATAGATACATCATGTTTAAGATGTGTCTAATAAATCTCACACTTCTAAAACAGCCAGTGGTTTGATCGGTCAAAATATTGTGCTTTTCTTACTAGAGTTGGTCCTGATTTAAATATGGAAGAAACATAAAGTCCATGTATTTTAATAAAGTTTTAAATTGTGGCACCCGAAATATCAGAACCAACCAAATGCATCCAAGCAAGCATACCATTGCAAAGCAGATACTACTTACCAACTTTAGTAGAGAACTGTTAGTGTTAGTGAGTTTTACTGTCCTCACAATACTAACAAGTCGCATGTATCTTGTATTTATTGCCACCCAACAATTTAAAAGTCCCAAAAGCTTAAAGAAATTACATTATAGTCAGAACAAAAAGGCAAATAAACCCTTATTTCTTTCTTACTTCAAAATAAGAGTCGCAAATATAGATAGCTTAGAAGAAATTACTCTGGAATCATCAAAACATATTTTCTGTCAGGTCTTGACAGAGATTGTCACATATGTACTAAAATGTATTAACTTCCAACTAAAAAGAAGTTTTGTTTTTTTTTTCATTATTTTAAATGCTGTTAAGGCAAAAATATTTACAAAACTAAACAACTGGCAGCATTGTAGCCCAACGGCTCTACTCTAGTACTGATGCCTTGTTTCCATCTAAGTGTCAAGTACACATCCACGCCACTTTCCAATCCCCTTCTTTGTCCCTCTGCCTCCCTGACTCACATTTATCAGATTTGTAACCCCACTGTCTTTTCGGAGCATATTAGAGAGAGTCCCTGGCAAAGAATGAAGGAAAAGTCAACAAGAATTAGATTTCAGTGCAACTGTTTACTCAACTGTGGCCTGCAGTTATTGAAATTTTATCCATGGTTTTGTGTGACTACTGCGGTAATGCATTCAGTATGCTTGTGATTTTCTCACTGGAGCTGGAGAAAAAGGAATATGTAGGAAGTGAGATCAAGGATTGGAATCTAAGAGGGAATGGGAGGAGTTCAGGGAGGAGTTCAGGAGTATCCCAAGGAGCCGGACACACGCTGACCCATCCATCCTTGTTACAAAAAGCTTCCCCTGCTCCAAGACAGACAATGTGACTAATAGAAAAATGTTTTTCTTGAGATTGTGATTGTACATGAAAAAATCATCTGACAGCTGCTGTGATGCAGATCCAAACAAGTCAATGAATGATTCCCATATAAAAATACAATGAAAAAAGAGTAATAGATTTTTATATAAAAATATATAAAGACTGACCGACACTCTATTGAATGTTTCACTGAAGATGCTTTTCCACTAGACAGCTGTAAGCTACTTTACTGCAGGGTCTGATTCTCTTCCAAAGGACGTGGGAATGTTTCTGGCATCATTAACACTTTGAAATCCAAGATTTTAAATTTACCTTTAATAGCTTCTTTATTTTATTTTTTTTACAATTCTGTTGAATATTTTTACGCAAGAAATAAATGCAGTCCTAACCAGGGGCCAACAATCATACATGGTGCTGTATCTATCATCATCAAAATACCAAAATTGCTCTCCTGGAACTTGATAAATGATAACACTGAGTCACTGCTCTGCTCCATATTCACCACTACCATCCTCCTCCTCCATGTTCTGTGCTGCATGACAGTTACACACACTGATGGATGTGCTGTGACAACAGACAACAGCAGAGAGCCTGTGCATCATCACCAAACAGTTTCTGACAACAACCCAAGTTGTGACTATATCGGAGACCGGGATAGCAGAAGACACACTGATCTTTTCAGCGCTGTTTCCTTAAACACACTGTCGTGTGCCACAAATAACGTTGACACCAACAGAAAGAGCTTGTCTATGTGTCTTAAGTCTGCTATTTGAGCTTCAGCTGCAACGACACTATGGGTCTCCACTCGGCGTCTGAAAGTGTGGGGCTTGTTTATAACAAGCCAGAGGAAAAAGGCTGTCATCCTATTGGATGTGATCATTTCATAACTGTCTACAGAATCCTGTAGCACCTATAAGCTTAAAATATGTCTGAACATGATAATAAATACTTGATTAAGATGCAGATGCTCCGAGCAAGAATAATCACACTCACAACCAAACAATCACACAGAAAAGAGCACTTCCCCTTCCTAAAATATTCAAAATGGGCCTCGATATACATAAATAATAATAATAATGTGTTTACGTGCCGGATGTACTGGGAGGTGGGATTAATTATTAAGTGGCACTATAAGCAGGAGGTTGGGCCTGCTCTTGACATGGTTTAATAAAGTGCAGACAGGTGTGAAAACAGAAGGCGTGGGGTGGTGCATGGGGTGTACCTGGTGCTGCTGGAGATGCAGGAGGTCTGCAGCCGTCACATCCACCGAAGGTGTGGCACTTTTAGGTGTTCCCTCCCGGAGTACGCCGTTTACGTTTGCATCTCCATTGTGATTGGCTGGTCCATTGCTCACCGTTTCAGTGGTGGAGTCTTGCATCATGACTTAAAAACCTTCAAGGAAAGAAGCGGAGAAGGCACAGTCGTTACAATGGGAAGTCATGAATCAAAATCTGAAATAACACAGAGCGGTTACCGCTATGGAGACATTGCTTTAAGCTTTTAAAGCAATGTTTTCAGTTTTACTAGTGACCAGAGTTTGTCTCTAGATGCTTCACCAATTGCTGATATTGGTGAAAGCAGAGGCACTTTCCCTTGTCTACAAAAAAGACAAATTAATCCGTTAGACAAATTGGAGGCTCACATTTTTCTTTTGGTTTTTATGCTTTATATATGTGCAATAAACTAACATGTGTTGAACCTATGGGATAGTTGTTCTTATTTTCATCCATCCCACAATTTTACCTTTTTAATATTGCTGAGAGCACTGGTACTGGTTCCCCGGGTCGCAGACCAGTACCGGTCTGTGGACCAATTGGTGCGGGCCGTGCAAGAAATAATTAAATATTTCCGTTTTATGCATTGTTTGAGTCTGGAGGATCTTTTATTTTGAAAATCCATACATACACTGATATGTGTGTGTAAGGATTTTACCAGATTCTTTAACCAGATTCTCCTGGTTTCGTCTTGCACGTCAGCATTGAGCCCACAAGCAGTAAAATGAGTAAAAAACAGATCAGATGTCTTTGGAAAGTTTCTTTGCGAAGGGAAAAGGCCCAGAGAAGAGACAGGAGAATGGATTTATTCCGATAGGTGATTCCACCAGTCCAAGCTGCTCTGCAGGATATGGTGATCGTCTGCAATGAAGCCTTCAAACTGCTTCTTGACGAGGAGACCAAGCAGGGTGCACATTAGCAACCCTTCGGGTGTCCATGTCTCTCATCACTCCCAGATGGAACTGTCTCATTGCACAGAAACGAGCTCAGGGCTCCATTAGTCATTATCGTGAGTTAAAATTTTCACAAAAGTAAAATGTTTGTTTTTGTGGCAGATCTGTATCTTATTTTGAAGGGATATGTAAATGTTACCATAGCGATGAGAGTCAGAGAGAATTAGGGCAGTGGTCGAGACGAGATGAGAGGAGTGGAGTTTGTGAGTCCTAAGTCTGGTTCACACGGCACTATATAAGGATTGATGGACGATGTTCCAAACCTCTCTCACCACACATGACACGAGCCAATAAAGTACAACTAGTTCGATCGGTTCGTGTGAACAGCAGAACCGATTCCAGTCATGAACATCCCGATTCCAGAAGAAGATCCAGTAAAACCCCCCAACATACCATATGTGAATTTAGAATAATCAAACACAGATGACAATGTAGAAGCAGTAGTGATAGTTTGTGGACTCATTTTAAACGATGAAAGATGAAACAAAGAGAAAAGGCATTTGATATAAGACGACTAGAGCCACTCTATTTGCTGCACTATTATTTGGAGGTGAGTTATGTTTTTTCATAGTGAACATTTTTCACTGAATAAACATAACCACATATAATAAACATATATAAAAATTACCTATACATATAGTGAACATTTTCACATATCACCCCTGAGGTCTGCTGGACTCTCAGTTGTGCCATGTCAACTGGTTGGGATTCCCCTCCGTTCCTATGTCACCACGCTTTCTGATTGGCTACCTGTCACATTCAACAGGTTCTCACTCCCAGTCAGGGAAAACACCACAGGCTGTGATTATTGTACCAAGACAATGTTGAATATGCCCAAATTTAAATTGGGCATATTCAACACACCACTCACTGCAGGACGTTGTAAGATTGTTGTAAAGGGAAAATCAGGGCCAAAAAAAGAAAGAAAAAAAAGGCTTTAGTAGGAACACAAACATGCAGAACATCAACATGCATCTGACGGTTGCTTCACCCCTGCATCACCACGGCACATCCAGTTGATTTCAATGTATCATTCAAACTTTCTGTATGTTACATAGGGGTATACTGATTGCCCTCTCCTGGTCAGTCATTAATGTTTAAAAAGTCTGAACTCCAGATTCCTATTCTGGCTGATACCATTTTTTTGTCTGAAAAGGTGTCAAGTTGCTAAGGATATACTGTTAACCTCACATGTGCAGACGTGACCTGTCAGTCAGCCCTATCTCATAGCAGAGCAAAAGAGGACATGAAGCAAGTGGTGTCATGAAGCTAGTTTGTGATGATGAGGACTGATGCTGTCAGAAATGACAGTTGTCCACAAAGTGCACAAAGCCAGAAACCACAGGTAACCAACGAGACACAAACAGGATCTCAGGTTTGCACACAATAGTAGGATCAAGACAACTATGACAACGACAAGGAACAAGGGGGAACAGATGAGACAGGTAAGTCTGAATACACAGGGTAAATAATCAAGGGAACAAAATTAAATAATAAGTTAACCAATTTATTAAAACCCACACAAAACCCACATGCACACAAGTAGCTGATTTTCAGACCTTTGCAGAGGTAGAAGAGGTCTGTTTCTCATGTAGAGAGCCTTTCCAAATATATCTTGGGAAAGTTGTTTAAGTCCCATAATTCCACTCAAAAAGCTCAACTTTCACAAGTTATAGATTCAGGGGCCACAGTTTAAACGAATTCAAGTATTTGTTTGTTTATTGTGACATAATTTGGGCTTACAGCTCATAAAACCTACAAAAACAGGAATTCAAAAAATTAAAATACTGTGAAGAAATCCGCCCAAACTTTAGAGGGCATGGATGTTGTAAATTGAGTGTGACACACTGATCATCTACTAAGCTCAAAGCAAGGAGGCAGACTGTTCACAGAGTGCTGTGTCCAAGTATAACAATGGAAAAGTCTAGTGGAAGGGCAAAATGTGGCAGGAGATCCACCAGTAAAAGAGATGACTGTGGACTTCAATGGGTTATAGAGCAGAAAAGATTCAAGAATCTCTCAGAGATCCAGAAAGGGTGGAATGAAGCAGAAGTCCCAACTACATAACCCACCATATTCAGATGCTAGGTTCCCCCAGTCAAGCCACTTCTGTATTTGTGCCAAAGTAGGAAGCTTCTCAACTGGGCCAAGGAGAAGAAGGGCAAGGCCATTGGTCAAGGGTTTGGAGAAGGACGGGTGAGACATCCACAGTCAGTCATTGTCTGCTGCAGATGTTGACAAACTCTGCTTTCTTAAATCCAAGATCACTGCAACAGTCGACCAGAATGTTTTAGAGCTCTACATGATTTCTTCTGCTGAGGATCTGTGTGGAGATGCAGATTTCATGTACCAGCAGGACCTGCAAAGCCTGCTTTGGTTAATAAGGCACTGACTCACTCTCACATTGCCTCCAAAAAGCAAATTGGCTGTTTTTCTTTGCAAATCCTGTTCACAGTGAGACTAACACATTCAAGTGGGTCTCAGGTTTTGTTTGTGTTCTTCATAACAGAGTCTTTGCAGGGCTATATTGGTGGTGGAGAGGAGCTCTAGCTCACATCGCAGAGGAACCCAACCTGAGTTGAGGGAGAGCAGAGGAGCCCAAGAAAACACTGCAGCTCCAAAAAGTAAACACTTTCTATGGAAATGGATATATTTACTCGCATGGCTCCCAGAAGAACCGCAGCAGAATGGCTTTTTAATGGGAAACAGGGCCACTGTGTGAGGCCTGCCAAAGGATCTCCTTGAGAAAAAGCCAATCCGAAGCCACGTAAAAAACTTGCAGAGTCCAGGAGAGGTGCTCAATTAACAGCAAAAATAAAAAGTGGGAATATTGAGTCATCCTTGTTGAGTAGGAAGAAATGTTGTCTTCCACAACTTAATCCAACTCCAGAGGATCACACATAAACACTAGCCATGTAGTTTTAAGCGTAAATGAATGCAATATGTAGAAAATATGCCAGGAGTTATGAGTGTTAGAGATATTTGTTACATCCTGTGATGTCTTTTGGATACATAGAAAAGCCAGACAGACACCCCTCCCAGTGCAGTGCCTGGGGAATGTGCCTATGACACCAGTCTACATATTTATGTGCCTGAGTTCCTAAAATCAGCAGGATTTTATCAGGTTGATTTCTTTCACTGTAGCACATCTTGCAGACCTTTTTCACTGTAGCACATCTCGCCTCCCCAATTTCAGGACAGTTAATGAAGCTGATCAAGTCAGGCAGAAGCAAATTAACTTGGCTGATTATTTATATGAAGCAGAATAAATGCCCTTAAAATACTGGAGCTCATCATGTGAGAGTTTGAAAATGGAGCTAAACACAAATTTCTGAGTTTCAAAACACTCGGGTACAGAGCTGATCAGATCAGGTCTGAACAAGATGAAGACCTCCACTCTTCTAGACACTACAGGGACCCACACTTAGACTGACAAACAGGAAATTAAGGTTGACAACTTGTCACACCAGAATATTTAAAGAGCATATGTGAGACAAGAGATCTGGATGTAAAACTAACAAAAGAAATCAACCTGATAAAGAGGTATTTATATTGTTCAGTTTCCCAGCTCTGAACCATGTTATGAGTAAAATGACTCTATGTCCTTCCTGTGTCTCTTTTATCTGCTTACATGCACACTGCTGCACACTTGCATAACCATAACATATAAGACTGGTTACAGTCACAAATAAACAAAAACTGACTAAGTAGGCCAACCCTGCTTAGAGAGGGTGCAGAATAAGGAGAATTAAAGCAAAAATCACACTACAGTCTTTGCTTCATTTTGTGTCACCATGGTGTGCCAAGTGGAGTCCATCTGTATAACTTGTAACATTTGATCATTTTCGGCATTAAAAGCCTGTTTTATACTTAACCAAATCTCATTATTTCTCAAGGTAATAACACTCAGAGGTTCTGGTCGGGTCCTGAAACTGGTAAACGGACGTGGGTGATGCACAGAAGCGGAAATGACTGAACTTTGACAACCATTTCTAGTGGTTTTACACAAAAAAGCTGTATTCAAATAAAAACTCATAGCTAAAGAGCATAGTGGTTTACATCTCCGTTACATTAGAAGCACCCCTTGCAAGAAGGAGAACCAAATGACTCATCTGACACTGTGGCCTGTGCCGGTTCAGTTGTGTGTCATGACACCGCTGCACTT